AATTATGACCAACTTTATGCAAATAAACTTGATCATTTATAGAAAATAGACAAATTCCCTGAAAGACACAAAGTACCAAAGCTCACTCAAGAAAGAATAGATAACTCAAGTGTACCTATATGAATTAAAGAAATTGACTTTATCATTAAAAATCGTCCCATAAAGAAAACTACAGGTCAAGTTGGCTTTCTTGGTGAATTCAATGAAGAGAGATTCAGTTTAAGGGAGAAATGAGGCCAGTACTATAGAAGCTTTCAGAAAGTAGAAGAGGAGTAAAACACTCCCTAACTAATTCTATGAGACCAGTATCTCTTTTTTTTTTGTATTAATTGATTAATTAATTAATTAATTTTTGGCTGTGTTGGGTCTTCATTGCTGCACGTGGGCTTTCTCTAGTCGCGGTGAGTGGGGGCTACTCTTTGTTGCGGTGTGCGGGCTTCTCATTGCGGTAGCTTCTCTTGCTGTGGAGCACGGGCTCTAGGCACGTGGGCTCCAGTAGTTGCGGCACTTGGGCTCTAGAGCACAGGATCAGTAGTTGTGGTGCACGGGCTTAGTTGCTCTGTGGCATGTGGGATTTTCCCAGACCAGGACTCGAACCCATGTCCCCTGCATTGGCAGGAGGATTCTTAACCACTGCGCCACCAGGGAAGTCCCAGAGACCAGTATCTCTTATGAATACAGATGCAGATATCCTCAACAAAATACCAGCAAACTGAATCTAACAGCATAGAGAAGGAATTATATACCAGCAAGCGAGATTCTTTTCAGAAATGCAAGGTTGATTTAACGTATGGAAATCAATGAATGTAATACAACATATAAATAGAATAAAAGACAAAAACCACATGATAATGATAATCTCAGTAGATGCAGAGAACTCATTTGGCAAAGTCAACAATCCCCATGATAACAAAATCACACAACAAACTGGGAATAGAAGTAAAGAAAAATTAAAAAAAAAAAAAGAAATTAATATCCTCAACCTGATAGAAGGCATCCATGAAAACCCATGTCTAACAACATATCTAATGGTGAAAGAGTGGATGCTTTCCTTCCAAGATCAGATTAGGCAGGAAAAAGAAATAAAAGGCATCCAGATTGAAAAGGGAGGGACTTCCCTGGTGGCACAGTGGTTAAGAATCCGCCTGCCAGTGCAGGGGACATGAGTTTGAACCCTGGTCCGGGAAGATCCCACATGCTGTGGAGCAACTAAGCCCGTGCACCACAACTACTGAGCCCACGTGCCACAACTACTGAAGCCCTCTGAGCCTGCACGCTTAGAGCCCGTGCTCCACAGCAAGAGAAGCCACCACAATGAGAAGCACACTCACCACAGTGAAGAGTAGCCCCCGCTCGCCGCAACTAGAGAAAGCCAGCGTGCAGCAAGAGAGACCCAACAGAGCCAAAAAATAAAATATTTTTAAAAAAAGAAATAAAACTATATTTACAGATGACATGATCTTGTATATAGAAAATTCTAAGGAATTCACACAAAAAATACTATAAATAATAAATGATTTCAGCAAGGTTGTAGGATACAAGGTCAATATACAAAAATCACTTTTATTTGTATACACTAGCAATGAGCAATCTGAAAATGAAATTAAAATTGTAATTCCACTTCTAATAGCATCAAAAAGATTAAAATGCATTGGGATAATAAAAAGCTCAAACCGTATACTCTGAAAACTACAAATCACTGTTGAAAGAAATGAAAGAAAACCTACATAAATGGAAAGGCGTCCTACACTCATGGAACAAAAGACTTAATTTGTTAAGATGACAATACTCCCCAAATTGATCTACAAATTCAACCCAGTCCCCATTAAAATCCTAGCTGCCTTTTTTGCAGAAATTGATAAGCTGATTCACAAATTAATATGGAAATGCAAGGGACCAGAAGAGCCAAAACAATCTTGAAAAAGAACAAAGTTGAGGGACTCACACTTCCCAATCTTTTAACTTTCTATTGTACAAAGCTACAGTAATTAAGACAGTGCACACAATTAGTATTCCTGAAAAAGAAAATGGAAAAAACCAGACTAGATAAGAAAATGCAGTTATATAATCAAAGAGAAATTCTTCAACAAAGTAAGGCTTTATTCAGCACTTGCTACACACTGTGCTAAGTGTTCTATCCATTTATTATTCCATTTAGTTCATAGGACTTCACTAAGTGAAAAATTCTATTACCATCTCCATTTTACCAATGAGAAAACTTTAGAGACTGTGACTTGCCCATAGTAGTGGAGCTGGGCTTTGAACCCAGAATGGCAGCCCGAGTCCAGTGCCTTACTTGATACTGCAGATCTGAATTTTTAGATTGAGAGTTCATACTGTGTTCCAAGAATAGCTGACATAGAATGATGAACGGCAAGACAACACCTGGTAGATCTTCTAGACTTCAGGGAGAAAAGGACTGCTCTTTGCAGATTGTCTGCAGGGAGACCAGTAAGGCTGGCTTCCGAGTTGTCCACAGCAACTGTCGGTGCTGGAAGACTGGAGTATCGTCTGCCACGTTCTGAGGGAGAGAAAGTGGGAAATCTGAGAATGTCATACCTGAATGTCTCAGGTTTAGAGGAACAGAGACAAGAGACAGACATTCTTACACCTGTAAGAATTCAGGGCCTGTAGCATCCACGAGCCCTTTTTGGCAGTATTCCACCAAGCAAGCATCAATTTAAAATAAAGAATTAAAGAAACAATGAATGCATTTGATTGATTGATTGAGGTATAGTTGATGTACAGTATTATATGTTTTAGGGGTACAGCATAGTGATTCACAATTTATAAAGGTTATATCCCATTTATAGTTATTATAAAATATTGGCTGTATTCCCTGTGTTGTACTAAATATCCTTGTAGCATATTTATTTTATACATACTAGTTTGTACCTCTTAATCCTCTACCCCTATCTTGCCCCTCAAATGCATTTTGATATAGAACTGATGAGAAACAATTATGGAGTAGAACATAATTGTTAGGTACCTTGGCAATAAAAAACAGTACTATAACAAAAGTAAGAGGCTGAGGAGAAGGCAAAGGAGAAGGTAGTATGAATATGTCAGTTTCCTCATTTTTGTTCTGGGTCAGCAGATACTGTATAGTGTTGAAATGTGTAGATAAAAGAATGACCTACTTTCTGTCCTTTCTCTGGCTCTTTCTTTGTCTCCCTGTCTCTGCCTTTCTGTCTATATACACATACATATAACACACATGCATACATGTAATAAATATAACATATTTTTAACGTTAGAGAGACATAAATGTATGAACTATGTGTAAAAAAAACCACATTTTTCTGAGGTTGAGTGATTACTTTGGTCACACTTTAGTTTCTCCTGTTAAATTTAAAATTAAAACCAGTATGTATAACAATCTCAATGTTTGTAAAATGATTATTATCTTTCTCTCCTCTTGATACATACGTACATGGAGATAGCTGGGTTATCGTTCAATCAATGTTCACTGGCTATTTCTATGTGGTAGAATTTTGAGATGATTTTTAATTTTCTTTTTGTACTGTACTACATTGTTTTCACTTTAAAATAACCATGGCATTTAAAAAATTTTAAAACTATTATCAAAAGCAAATGGAGGATAATTTTTTAAAGTTTCAGCATTGAACCCCCAAGTGGAAATGTCAAGGAAGTAGTTGGATATATGAGTCTGGGAAAGTCTGGACTAGAGATTATAAATTTGGGATTCGGCAGCATGTAGCTGATTTTTGAGGAGTGGATGAGATCATCTTGAGAGACACTTCACAGAGAAGGACAAGGGCCCAGAACCGCACTCTGTGCATCTCCAGCACTTCGAGGATGGGTGAGGGTGAAGCCAAAAATGACAGTTCTCAGAGGCAGGAGGAACACCTACCTACCTCTTAGCACTTGCAGAGCCAAGGGCTAAGTCAAGAAGGAGCCAGGCAGTTTTGATAAGGTGCTGGGATGTAGTTCAAAGGCAAGGGTTGCCCACCTGGCTTTCGTTCCACAATGTATTGTTCATTGTGTGTCTTCTACTTTTTTTCCCCTCCCTAAAGCTCATAAGGTAGAGAGCCAGCAATTCCTTCAGCTCCATTTGGAGAATAATTTCAAGGCCTCTAAAATATTTGGGGTCTGGCTAACAGCTGGATCTTTGGAGAGCTGCTGACTCAGCAGATGTTGGCAGCATGTTTGGAGAGCACTCCTGTGGTTTTAAAATGGGCCACAGTAGCTTCTGGTTGATAAATGCTTTATTTGACTTGTGAGTTTAAGGAGAGCAGCCTCTGTAACCATAGCTAAGTGTTTACACTTCACTGTATCCCCCTGAACTTGCAAGCCTTTCTCTTGACTAGTTGGCAGTCTTTCTGGCGGGGCTAAACACGTCAACCTTTAAAACCTCGTTATCTGCTGACAAGAGGTCAAGTTTGGGGAGAGGGCGAGTCGAGGTGGTTTTTCTCAACTCTCCCCTTGAGAATAGGTGGCTGCTGCCCAGTCCACAGGCCTCAGCTCTGTAGCCTGGTGAATTTGCCCTCTCTGGTTAATTCCAGAGCCAGTGCCAATCATGGCACCTTCCAGCTCTTTCTGAAGCTCATCAAACTCTGGAGGGCTGAAGCCACGGGCCACGCATCAGTGACCTCAGCCATTGGTGGATGATGACTGTTTCTGTCCATTGCTGGACTGGCTTCTGTGTCACTCAGCCTCTCTGTCAACATCCTGGCCTTCGGCAGAGCCACTCCACCTCTAATGCTTCTCCTGGCACCGTGCGCTCATCAGCACCCTTCACTCCTCTGTCCTCAGTGCCAGGAGGGCCACACGTGGCCCGGGGTTAGCAGTTGTTCCCTGTCTCACAGAAGTCATTCTCTCTGCTTTTCTTATCGCTACACTTCTACATCAGTGCCTTGCACTGATGTTTGCATACAGAAGTTATTTTTTCAAGTCCTGCAGTGCATTTAGAGACAGGGTTTGAAGGAGGCAGGCTTGCATGTGGATCTGATTAGTTTTCCGATTTTCTCCCCTTCTAGGTAATACTTTCTAATATTCAAAACAGAAGTCCTAAGCCTGGCTCTGCTCCCCACGATCAAGAACTAGGTTTTTTCCTAGAAACAGGACTACAGAGAGCCCATGTCCTCTATTTCAAAAATGGGTAAGCCTTCTTCTTTTTCTAAATCAATTCCTAAAGAAGGAAAGTAGAAAGCCTTATAATGCTGTCTTCAGTTTAGTTTTTATCGTAAAGCAATTTTAAATATAAATATAAATTTTTTTTCAAAAAAAGAATGAGCATAGGCTCTTTTGTCTCTTCTCCACCTGGGTCCTCACTTTCCCATGAGATTTGAAGGTGGGGGGAGGGAGGAGGCCCCCCCATGAGTACGAGTCACAGTGTGGAGCACCGGGACCAGGAGGGAATGGGGCCCATGCTCTGTGCTCCCTTGCCTCCCTGGGATGGTACTGCACAGGCCTCCCTGCTTTGTTGCGGGGAAAATGAATGGATCGGAAACCCTGGCCCACAGGATCACCTGCCTTTGAATGGCTGATCCGTTTAGAGAACTGGATTTGCCAAATTTCAGACGGTTTTTATGAAAGCGAGTATGGCTGTAATGCCACACAGGTACATTTTCCCCTTGAGCTGCCCTTGAAAAGAGTTTTAAAAAGGTTTAAGAGCCTGCACGTAAGGGATAGCTCTCTCATGCATTTGATGCTTGTTTTCCTTTTCGTGTTGCTCTTATGAGAAATGCAATGATACTCTTCCAAATCTCTTCAGCTGTCCCTTGTTTTGACATTTTGCTGCAGGATAGATGTGCATGGAGACCAACAGTAGGTATCTGGTTCCCCCGTAGCTCCTCCTAGGCTGTGCGTGGGAGGCCCCTTCCTCAGGAATAGTCCAATAGCGCTTTAAGCTGCAGATTGGATAACTGAACAGGGGAGTTGCTCCCTCTTCATTTTCAAGAGCTTCAAACCTTGGGGCGTAGCTCATGGAAGTGGGATTTCACCTGCCCAGAGCCACGTGCTTCTGTTTCCCATTTGTTGGGGGAGTAAATGCTTATTTTCCAAATCCTATTAAACTGTTTGTGGAGAAGGCCTGCTTTGCTCCAAAGGTTCAGATTGGCAGGGCCCACAAAAGGCTGCAATAAACACCCCAAAGTTTGGAATGGCTTGGTAGCTTTGGCATAGATGCTTTTGAGTTTGATCTCATCTGTCACTGATTGAGATCATCTGAGTGATGGTGCATGTCCTCTAGACTGAGTTTTGAGTTCTAGTTTCTTTGCTGTTATAAATAGAGAGAGAAGGGAGGGAACGTAGAATATTTTTTCTGTTTATTCTCCCTCTTCACAATAAATAGTGTCATCACAGAGGAAACTCCAACCCTGGCTTTCCCTCCCTCTAACCTGTGAGTGTGTGTGATTGATATGCAAGTCCAGAGGCCGGAATGAATTTCCCTGGGGCTTTCAGGAGTCCCAAACCAATACCTTCTATTGAAAATGTTTTGTGTGAGATTGATAAGGACCAGCCGGATGACTTATTTTCCTATTTGAAGCTTATTCGTCGAGGAGGAAGAAGCGGGGCTATGGGGCTCTGTCCTCTTGCCCCGAACCTCTGGATGCCCACCAGAACCCAACTAAAAAATAATGATGAGAGGTTTGCACTAGGTGATGGATTACATGCTGGGAATTGCTTACTGGCTCATGTCTCATTTTATCTTACCCAAGTTCAAGAAGGTTCCCATTGACATAGTCAAAGTTAAGGGACTGCTTAATTTTGAAGCCCCTCTTCGTTTCTTCTTGTCCTCTTGGTCTTCTCCCTGGGCTCTAAAGACCAGTGATGCATTGAGCCGGCCGCCCTGGAGGGCTCTTGTCAGCTGCAGTGTTCTAAAGCGGTAACAAGAGGTTACGTGGGTAGGTGGAGGTGAGGGCCAGTTTTGAGACCACGAAACACGGACGAAAGGAGAGAGACCAGTGGGAGGTTTTGGACATGCCAAGCGCTGTCAGGGCTGCTGACTTACACGGTGGGTCACTCGGGGCCCAAGAGCCACACCCGGGGGGCATTCATCAGTGGACGCGTACCGCCAGTGTCTCTGCGGAGCAAGTGGGGGCAAATGGAGGCGGGAGCCATCCCTAAACACCAGCGGCTTCCCATCTTCCAATGTGTTTGCTCTGCTCCTTCGTCGTCTCGCTCCCTTTTTGTGTTTCTGCAACTTAGAAATATATATATCTGGGATTGACAGGATTTGACTGATTTTCAGGGTTAGGAAAATGCATCTTAGATGAGTTTGGCAATAAGAGTTACTAATTGGTAAAGCGTATCTTTTTCTTTAGAAATACACTTAAATATGTTCAGCCTTTTAGTTGCCAAGCCCGTGAACTTGGGTCTCTTTCAGAAAGAACCTGACGCCAGGACCAGCTCCTGGGCCGCTCTGATCCCTTAGATCCCTCTTCTGTTTACCAAGTACTTTTATTTCATCGTTGATCCTCATGGCGTTATATCTTCCACACCCACCACCGCCCTTGGGGTTGGCGGTGTAAACAGCATCGCCTCTATTACACGCACGGTGACCTGGCTGCCGGGCTTCTGACCTCAGTCCTTTCAGTGCTGCCCCCACTGCAGGGGAAATGCTGTGTGCAGGGCCTTGGCTCAACCTTCAAACCGTGGCCTTGTCCACCATCCAGCCTCACTTGTGAGGGAGCGCTTGACCCCGGGATGAGACATTGCCGGGGGATGGTCCCCAGCCTCCACGAATTGGTGTTTTCTCATCACACTTTTCCTCATGTCTCATCTACAGCCTGTCACAAATCATATGTTTCTTCTTCTCTCCTCCTCCCCCTGCCCCTCTCCCCGCTCCTTTCCTCCCCCTCTCTTTCCTGCCTCACCCCCTTCCCCTCCCTCTCCTTGTTGTCCCCTCACTCCCCCTTCTCCCCTGTCCCCTGGGAGGGAGAGAGCACCTGTCATCATCCCAGCCCCAGTGTCCTTGGGCGTGGTCTGGCCTGGCACACACCCACGTCGATTTCACGGGGGTTTCTCTCATCCCTCTGGGTGGCAGCAGCAGGCCTGCTGTGGATGAGAAAACCGTCCTGCTGAGGCTGTGCAGAGGGTGGAGGCAGAGCGCGTTAGCCGCAGAGGGCCAGGGCTACTGCCTCTGAGCTTTTCGAATTTCCTCACCCACGGTAGGCACTCGGATGAGGGGAAGCAAGGGCGCTGGAGCCAGAGGACCGGATAAGGGACCAGCCCTTCTCCTCGCTGGGTGTCCGTTTCTTTATCTGTAAAATAGTGCCAGAACCAGAGAGCTGCGTGTGGCGCAAATAAGAGAACGCATGTGGAAGCATCTGGTGCAGCGTCAGGCAAACAGGCAGGGGGAAACTGTAACTTCCAGTGATGACGATGCCCGGCTGGCTTTCCAGCTGGAAGTGGGACCACAGGAAGGTCGGGCTCCAGCTGAAGTGGACGTTCTCGAAGCAGGCGTCACTCATTTCACTGCAGAGCCTCACACAGCAGAGTTTTCAAGGAAGGGCCCTCGTTTATGACTGCTGGTGTGAGCCAGCTCTGCTCGAGATGCGTAACAATTAGCTTGGGTAACCCCTAATCACCGAGGGCCACCCCAGTGTTTCAGAGAAAGGAGGCGGGGCCGCCTGGTGTGAGGCACTAGCACTGGGTGTTCTGGGCAGTGTGCAGAGAAACAGCCTCAGCCTTCTGAGACGTGTTGCCCGTCCCTGAGTCCTTGAGGCCACAATGCCAGAGAAGCTTGGGTCTGCGAGGCCACTTATTTACTCCACGTTATTTTAGGGGTATTGAACTATATCTTACAAACAAAGGGTAGCCAAGGACATTTCAAGGAGCTTTGCTTCTTGCTCCAGCATGTCAGGTGTACTGGGTAAGCCAAATGGATTGTAGTGTGTGTTGCCCCTGGTTCTGAATTGGTTTTAATTCAAGGAGGGCGGGGATAAATTCAAGCAAGAAGGCAAATGAGCGTCAGTGTCTGGGAAGTGTACCCGCTGGGTCGTCCTCTTTCCTAGGGTGCATCACGGAGTTCGGTGTGGGAGATCCTCGGAGAAGGTAGGAAGTCAGGCAATATGGTCAGACTCTGGGCTGCCCCCCACGTGCCTGCAGCCAGGCCAGGGAATAAAGTGGGATGGAGGGCTTTTTGGAGTTGTGTTATTACAGTCAGTCAGCACTATGCGTTTGTTGGCTTTAAATAGACCTCTAATTAGCACCATGCATTGACTTCTCAAAGCTTTTAAACTTCCCCAGTCATCTTGTTGACCTTTGCAACTGTTCAGCCCTGCTCAGTGTAGCTTGGAATTAGAGGGCAGGAAGAAGGGCCATGAGGCCTGCGGCGTCCCATGGGCTGCCGAGGTTCCTGGGTTTATGGCCTCAGAGAAACAGTAGCAGCAGACGGGCTCCCACAGGCCCTGTTGGGGGCGGGAGGGAGGGGGAGGGAGAGGGCTTGGCTCGATGCACTGGCCTCCCCAGGCACTGGAGCGACTTGGCCTTGTCCTCTGCATTCTTGCCTTCAGTACGTCTTCCTTCTGGCGGTGATAGAAGTGGTTGTTTTTTCAACTGCCCCCTGCTTTTTACATTAGGAGTCAAATGCAAGGAACATGAGAAAATTCAGACACATTTCCAGTAAGCGTTTCGTATGTCTTAACTTTTGGTACATGACATTTCTCGAGAGATTCAGAGAGTAGAAAGAAATGAGCCTGCACTGTGGGAGATAGTAGGAGAAAAGAAAAAGGGTAAGATGTGAAAATAAGTAAATTATAGGTGACAGTATGGTTGTTTAAAAGAGTAAACAATGCAAGAACACCTAATAATCACTGTAACTGAGCTGAGGTTTCCAGGCCCATTCATTCATTCAGTAAAGTACTTATTCATCCATTTAGTGAGGACTAATTGCATAGTAGCCAGGCCCTGTCCTAGCACTGGGGCTCTAATGCGGAAAAGAACGACAAAGTCCCTGACCTCCTAGAACTTCATCTCAGGGAACTAACTAAAAGAAGCAGTCTCAGGATAGTCTGTACATGTGTGACAGGGGAAGTCCAGGTTGCCAGAAAGCCAAATAAGGAGGCTGCCTGTTGAGACGGCGGAAGATTTGGGAAGGGGAGTAAAGCTTTGGAGAAGCGGGACTGAAATGATGTAGGTGCACAGATTGGGGAG